ATATATATTATGTATATATCCAGTTGCCAATACCCCAAGTAAAATACATTTCCAATAAACATGAAGGGTAACATAAATCCATATTTATTTACATAAACAGTAGAGACATCTACATAAAGACAGCTACCTACATTTTTTCATTTACATAAATATCTACATATTTTTATATATGCATATGTATAAAATTTTAAACAAATGTATTTTTGATAAGCCTAATAATACAATTGAAAGTCCAGTGATGAGAATATCAACCATAATATGTAATTCATCTTTGAAATTTAAACCGTCATAAAGAAATAGTCAGAAAAAACATACATGTCTGTAAAACAATGTATATTCTATCAATATAGTAGATATATGGTGTAAAAACATAGACCAATAGGAAAACACTATGTGCAGTACTGAAATTTTAGTATTTATGATAGATTGCTTCCTTCATTTTCCTGAGTCTTCTTGTCTGTGTATCCTATACAAAAATACAGGATTACAATTTGAGCCCACTCAGATAGTCCAAAACAAACTGTTCCTCTGAAAATACACCTGTTGTAATAATTAGCATCCAGCCTTTTGTCATATATTTCTCATCAATTGGATAAGGACTTATACATATATTTCTGAGACAACAATCAACTCATGTCATCTCTTAGGCTCAAAAGAAATTCAATTTTTTTTGTCTTACAGAAGTATTCTCAAGTTTCTGTCTCTGGGAATCTTGTCTGAGCCTGTCACCTGTACTTCTGCAGCCAACAAGAGACCCTAAGGAGAACCAGCCCTAGGAAACTCTATGTCAGACAGAATCTGGCTAAAGCCTTGCTCCTTGTTCCAATGCACTGCCAATCTGCAGTGATGATAATGAAAGTTAACTACATAAGATAACCACGTGTGCCTGCGCGGGCATGCACACACACACGAACACACACACACACACACACAAAACACACGTGACAAAACCAATTTGTTGTAGAGGGATTACATGTCTACACAAACATGATTGGTAAAGAAAATGTCAGGCTTTGTGGAGCCCTGTGAATCCTGGCACTGTGACTTAACTTTACAAAAGAGATCAATATCCATTGAGTGCTGGGAGGCAGAGGCAGTCAGTTCAATGGTAACCTGGTCAATTTTGCTAGTTCCATGTCAGATGGGGCTACAGGGAGACCCTGTCTCAAAGATAATACAAAATATGCATATCAAAATGTTTCACATTATAGATGACAAGCCACCTTACCAGCAAGTTTCCACAAGGCATCTTTCATATGCCTGTTCCGAAGGCTATAGATAAGTGGGTTCAGCATCTGAGTGACTAGAGAATACATCACTGAAGCCACTGCTGTCTTCCTGGGAGAATCAGTCACTGAAGAACTGATGTATACCCCTAAACCTGTCCCATAGAACAAGGAAACAACTGACAGGTGAGACCCACAGGTGGAAAAGACTTTATACCTTCCTTGCACTGATGGTATTTTCAAAACAGAGGACACAATTTCAATATAAGACAGAATAATTCCAAAGAAAGGAATACCACCAAATATGAAAGCTGCAATATATATTAGTATGTTATTGATGTGGGTATCAGAACATGCAAGCTTGATAACCTGAGCAAGTTCACAGAAGAAGTGAGGGATTTTCACATTTGTGCAGAAGGACAGCTGTAGCACCATCAGACTCAGTAGTAGTGCATTAAGGATGCTAATCAGCAGGGAGAATAGAATGAGCAAAACACATAAGTGGGAATTCATGATGACTCTATACCTCAGGGGGTGACAAATGGCCACATAGCGGTCATAGGCCATTGCTGCAAGGAGACAATTTTCTACACCAGCAAAAAGCAGGACAAAGCAAGCCTGAGTGAGGCAACCTGTGTACGTTATCCTTTGATCCCGTGTTTGGATGTTCACCAGCATCTTTGGGATAGTGGTTGAGCTTATACAGATGTCAGCCAAGGACAGGTTGGAGAGAAAGAAGTACATGGGTGTGTGAAGATGAGTATCTGACTTGATGGCCAGGATGATAAGAAAGTTGCCAAGAACTGTGACCAAATACATGAACAGGAACTGTCCAAAGAGGAGGGGCTGCAGTTCTGGGTCATCTGAAAGACCCAAGAGCAGGAATTCTATTGCACCTGTTTGGTTTGTGGACTCCATGTTGTTTAGGAGGCTGATGGGAGAAATACAGATAATCAGACAGGTAAGGGCATACCACATTTTTGAAAAAAAAATCACATCTACTTTGTGAAGTAAATGTTATTTTACTCTCTCTCTCCTTATCTCCTTCCCTCCCTTCCTATTTCTCTCCATCCCTTTCCAACTTTTGTTCCTATCACCAATTTTGCCTCTTTATAAATTTTGTATTTTATTGAATTTATTGCGATTTTGATACAATATATTTAATAGTATTTAGATCTCCTCCCCTATTTGTTTCTTCCACTGCTCCCCCAATTTAATGTACACACACACAAACATATCCATATATATAATATACGTGTATATATATGTTTTATATAATACCATCTACAGAATCTGATTTGTGTCCCTAATGTTTTGCTTCTTTTTCTGGACCATGTTATCTTCTTATGAACATTTTATATGAGAACTCATGCACTAAAATTCTTACTCAGAATCTTGTTCTAGAAAAGCTATAAAAGCAAACAACTCAATAAAGATGATTATTACTGTTCCTCGTATCCATGTAATAAACTAACCAGCAATAAAATAAATCTAGCTTAGAGTTAAATACAAGAATTTCCAAACCACTGAGAGAAAAATAATTTGTTACAGAAAGTCTAGAGCATAACAAAATTTAATCATTAAAGTACCATATGAAATGCTAATGTATTTTAAAATGTGACATATTGAAAAATCATAATGGAAAAAAAGATTTGGACATCTACTATTAAATATAAAATTAAAACATATAACCACATTTGCATCATAAATATTGATAAATAAGCATTGGGCATTGTATCTTCAATCATATAAAAATTATGCATTTCCCCTTCCCAAAGGAAGGCTCTGTGCTAAATGTCTCCTGAGATTTCAATATATTTAATGTTTATGTTTAAACCATACTCTTGCTTTGAATTTAAAGCATTATTTACTATAAATGTCATATTATAATGATTTAATGTTTTATCACTTCTTATTCTTAATACATTTTCCATGGTTTCTTCCTTATAACTGCAATGCCTTGCTCCATCACAATTTATTTAATCTTTGTGCAATAAATGAATATTCACAAATGTAAAACATCATTCATAAAATGTGTAATATATAATACAGCTTAAATAACAGGGTCATGACAATTATATAAAAGACTCTGTACTGCAATATAAATAACAGGACTAGAGAAATGACTCAGCAGGTAAAGACTTTTGATACCAGGCTTAATGACCTTAATTTGATCCCCAGGACCAATGTAGTAGAAGAAGAGAACTGACCATCACAAGTTGTACTTTGACTCCATCTACACCATGATTCAATTTTTGCACACACATACAGATAGGGAGGGAAAGAGAGAGAGAGAGAGAGAGAGAGAGAGAGAGAGAGAGAGAGAACATAAGACACAAGTCATGTCATTTTAACACAGGATTAGATAGCAAAATATTAACATTCCTTACACTAAAAATGTTATCTATGTATTTATTTTATTGCACTATGCTATGTTGTACATTTTAAATAGTTCATAGATTAATGCAGAAGAAATTAGCCAAGAGAATCTTGCTATCACCATTGATTTCCTCCAATATGTCACACAATAGAGACAAAAGGAAATGGGATCAGCTAAATATCTCCTCCCAAATAGGATATTATATAACAAGGAGGGCATGAGACTAAGATGACTATGAACTGATGAACAGTATATCTTTGTCAAATAAATTATAGAAAATGACAAGAGTTATAAAATATTCTAAAACATGAAAGGAGATTTCTCTTCAGAACAGAAAATAGTCATTGTCTTTATGGCCAGTGTAAGCTATTAGAAGGGTGAAATCTGCTCAGACCAAGATGCTTAATAGAAGCCAATGTGTAAAGATGTTCAGCAAAGAAACAGACACCTCACAAGTAACTTAACTCATCCTCTTGATGTCCTGTTGTCAAGGCTGCCCAAAGTGGTTTAATGTAAAACATCTGTGGCTAGTGTCACAATATAAACAGGAACCTTCAGATTACATGAGAAATCACACTGAGATTCATCATTTAGCTCTTCCGGGTATAGGAAGGAAAAAAATGGAAGCTGTGCTTTCAGTGAACACAGAAATTCAGGAAAACACTTGCCTCCTATGTCAAAATGATGGTTCTTGAGGCCAGCCTTGGGTGTCATACGTACTTATCTGGGCAAGGCTTGTTAGGTGATGATTATTAATTGTCTATCTTCAGTGTTAGTGGCCCATGGGTCTTTGATTTCAAAAAGTACTAATTAATTAATGTTCTCTTTGCTCTCATGTGATTACATGGCAGAATATATCCTTAAGGAGCGAGCCTTAGTCATGGAACAACTTTTCTTTGGCTCACACAGATAAGTCAAATGCAAGCCACATTCTTAAATCCACTGAAACTTTTGGTCACAACAAATAAATGTGTCCTGAATGCTTCAACACATCTTATTTTGCTAAATATCAGTCTTTTCTCAGTACTATCCTAAGAGTGATGTGTCAAATTTTGACAGCATATATGATTTTTAAATTTAATTTTTAAAAGTTTCCAGGCTGAAGGGATGGCTTAGTGATTAAGAATCCTTGCTATTCTTGCAAAGGACTTGAACTTAGCTCTCAAAACTGAAGTCAGGGTGCTCACAACCACCTATATCTCCAGCTCCAGGGGATCCAACATCCTCTTCAGGTGTCTACATTTGCTGATATAGAGATACACATATACTCATAAATAAAATGTAAAGATTTTAATATATGTTTAGATATGTCTTATTTTTTATTTTTATTGAGCTTTTGTACATTTCATACAACAGTTTTAGTCAAATTCAGACCCCATCCCCCCTTCATGCCCCCCACCCCCAACCCCCACCAGACCTTAATGCATTCTGCTATACATGTTAAGTTGTATCCAGCCAAGCATTTTTACCCAAATGTCCTTCAGCAAAAAGTCATCCACTGGAGTCTAATCTGCCTATCTAGAGATGGTTGGTCTGGCCTACTCTCCCTCACCTAGTAGTGATCCTCTCCAATAATTCCCTACCTGCCACACACTTCCCTCACTCCTTTCTGGGTCCTCGTCTGATTGAGCTGGCATGGGTCCTGTGCTCAGTGCCACCACTGCCATAAGTTCATATGTGCATCTGCATCTCTATGCTCATGGACCAACCCTGGCTCTTAAAATCTTCCCACCCCATCTTCCACAATGGTCCCTGAGCCAAGGGTAGAGAGTTCCATCAAGGGATACACACACTGCAGTCTCATATCTTTAAATGTTGAGCAGTTGCAGCGTACTGTGTACATTGCACTCTGTTGTATAGGGAGACTTCACTGGTGAGAGTTGAGGGATGCATGAGTTTTCATCATTTTTTTTGAAAATCCTAATGAGTTTATTGGACTTGCTAACAGAGCATAGGGTGGGGGTTTACTTACAGAAGAGTGGGTGCACTCCCCATTTATGACTGTACTAGAAAGACCACACTCAAATATAGATCCTGTGACTTCACAATGGTGCCTTCCTGAGAGGTCCCTCATGGAGTTCTCAGCTTATATATCCTTAGCCCCTCTATCTCATGCAGGTTGACCAATTCGATAAGAGGGGTAACTGACTCCTACCTCGACTCCTTGACGAGTCTGGGAAGAAGGTGTGACTATAGCTTGCCAGCATAGGTGGTAGGAGGACACCTCCAGGTAACACGCCACCTTTTCTTCCAGCTCTTACAGTGTTTCCACCAACCTCTTCCACAAAAATCCCTGAGCAGAACTTGGAGGGAGTGACAGGTGTGGGATGATCTTCCTCCCATTGTAGCAAGGTACTGAATTTTTGGGTCTCTGCATCATCTGTTTTTCACAGGCTGTTGGCCCATTTCAGTGGGATTCTATCTACTATGAAAACAGAACCAGCAAGAAACAAGAACATCTAAACAGTGACTGCTATAAAAACAGCCTCTGGACAGAAACACAAATGCTTGGATGGTACTTTAGCAGGTGTATCACATCCATCTAGCAAGACAATTGCAGTGGCTTCCCCACTGGAGCCTATAATCTCCCCTGCCACAGGAGATTGACCTGGTCTACAGTACCAGATACGTGTTCCACTCCCAGGAGTGGGCATTGTCAGGCCTACATAGTGAGACCCTATTTTTAAAAACCCACTTTACTGAAAGTATTAATCATTTCTTGTAATTTTCTGGTGGAATTTTGTGAATCTCTTATATAAAATCATATTGTCTGCAAATAGTGACAATTTGACCTCTTCTTTTCCAATTAGGGGTCATGGAAAGAATCTGAGGCTTTGTGCCCTAAGAGACAAGAAGGGGCCATTGGTGAAGGCATAGCCTCAGTTTCAGTGGCGATCCCAGCTTTTTTTGAGATCAGGAGCATGGGACGACCACCAAAGACAGAAGTAGGTAAGGAATGGAGCTGGCCTAGGTCTGCGAAATGATCTGTGTGTGCTGTGGATGGCAGAGTCAGAAAAGTGGAGCTGCTAGAACCCTTTGGAGCCCAGAAGATCATGAGTGAATCCCAAATGTCCAGCCTTGAGTTGCTTTGCTGGACTTTGGTTTTGCGTAGGTGTGCCCAATTCTTCCCTTTGAAATAAGACAGTACTTCTTTTGGATTTTACAGAAGCCCACCCACAGTTAAGAGACTTGTAAAAGAGACTATGGACTTTTAATTTCTTGGATGTTTTAAGGGCTGTGGGGCTTTTAAGGTTGTAGTGTGTTATGTTGTAATATTAACATCATATCTTGGGGACAAGAATTGGAAAGGTTGTGGTTTAATAGTGTGTGTTTGTGTGTCAGGGTGACAAGGGGTCAATTGTGCTGGACAGCTTTAGTGTCACGTGGGTTGAGGGAGCCTCAATTGGGGAATTGCCTCCATTGTACTGGCCTGTGGCCATGTCTGTAGGGCAACTTCTTGATTGTTGAGTTATATGGGAGGGCCTAGCCCTCTGTGGGAGGTGGCAGGTAGGCCACTGTTGCATAAGAAAGCAAGCTGAGCAGGGGCCAGG